AAATGATGCTGTGGTTGCTAATTACAATTATGAATACACCTGACTAATAATATTACTTTTATTTACTGTAATTTTAAAATAATAAAAGTTTATAATAAAATTTGTCTCATAATTATATTCATTGTGGGTAAGCTATTATAAACAAACACTTATGTGACAATTAACAGCCACTTTCATATCACAGCCTACTCGTGCATTTATAATTAGCTGAACAAAGTCAGTGTGGCCCTACTATAGTGTCCAGTGTCAATGAATATATTAATAATAAATCTAACATGGAGGACACTGTCAAAAGGTAATCAGTATTATTAGCACATACATGCACATGTATATTGTACATGTACATGTATTATTATTGTATGTAATAATTAATATGTATTAATATGTAATTGCCCATAATTACAATATTCTACATTATGAGTATACCCAATGACACTTGGTAAAATATTAAATTATGTACATGTACATGTACCAAGTGCTGTTGATTTATTTTTATTAATTTCTTCATGTAGTGAGCATGATTGCAGACAACTGGTGAAGGACTTAAGGAAACAATTGGTTGAAGTGAAAAGAGAAAAAGAAGAACAAATCACAGTATGAATACTACCCTTTATTATCATAATGACATGCATCTAATTACAAAGTACTGTATGTACAATGTATGTAAAATTCTGAAAAATACCCAAGGCTGTAGCCCATGGTTTTTCCGAAAAAATGGCTCCAAAAACACCTCAAATTTTTATTACATTTTTTGATACATATTGATGTCCTTATGCTGTGTAGAAAGTTTGAGGTGATTCCGACTTCAATTTTTCAAGTTACGGCCAGTTTAGTAAAATCCCAAAATTCTGAAAAATACCCAAGGCTATAGCCGATTTTTTTTTTTTTTGAAAATTACCCAAGGCTATAGCCCATTATAAACAAATCTCTTTGAAATAAAAGTGAAGGGAGGGACACACAAATGAACAATATAATAAATAAATAAATAAATAATCTAGGCAGGTTATGATAAATTAAAATTAAATTAGATTAAATTAGTGGACTAGAATGTGACCATCAGATATCGCAACCTCAGCATCAATATCACCAAATTTGGGCCGGTATAGTGACTTTCTTGTACCACGGATACAGCGAATGGTCGATCGTAAAATAGAAAATGATAGTTTACACCTAATGAGATTGATGAGTGGACTGTATGGTTTGTTTAGTTTTTCCGACGTGATTGAAGCAATGCGTTTAAATACAGTATCTGATACTGGGGCCAAGCCTCCATTGGTGGAAAATATAAGTGGTGAAAAGCAATCGTGTTCAACATTACGAATCCGAGCATCATACTTTCTCTTCTTCCGGTTTTCTACTTTCTTGTAAACAGCTGGTAGAGTGAGGCCTTTATATGATTCAGAGAAGGGATTGACAACTGAGACATCAAAGAATGCTCTCTGATGAGAGATCCTCCAGAAACCATCAACTGTAATGTCCGCACGAGCTTCATCACCATCCACAGTAGACGCTGTGATTGATTCTCCTGAGAGTGGTTGTAAAGGAGGCTCACGAGAAACATTGCTACAGACATCGTCAAGCAGTGAGGCAGTAAGATCTCTTAGCTCATTATGTCTTAGTGTGGGGAACCCGCCCATAGGACAAGATAGAGCATGGTCTACTGTGAAGGGTGAGTCACAAACACAGGAAGATGGTAAGTCCTGTAGCTGCCAACCATATCGAATACAAACAGAGTCTCTAAATGAGCCTTTGTGCAGATCAAAGCCATGATCAGCCAATGGTAGTGCAGAGAGCCAAGCTGAAGCACCTCTCTCACAAGCAACATCTATCAGTCTCTTCTTATCAGTATCTAAGCATTCCCTTACTCGCATTAACTCCTCCTTTGAATCATTTCTCTTCCTCTTTGTATAGTCGTCTAATATCTTACACTGACTTGCAATCACTTCATATGGTATATCCTTTCTACCAGCCAACAGACAGTCTACCAGGGGTCTTGTTATCTCACATGAAGCATGGTATTGAGC